AGATGACTGAGCCAAGAAGATTGTGGGTGGGTGGGTGGGTGGTTGGGTGGGTGGTGGATGAGTGGATGGATGGGTGTGTGTGTGTGTGGATGGGTGTACGTGTGGGGGGCTGAATGGAAGAATGGGTGGTGGATGGGTAGATGAATGGAGGAGCAGAGGGTTGCATGGGTGGACAGACTGATGGACGATAGCATGCTGGCTGGCTGGACGGACTGTCTTTGACAGGCGTGGCTTGCTTCTGGTTGACCTACCCGCAAGTTTGATCTGAAATCGACCAAATTCCAGCCAGCTGGGTTTGTGTGCCTTGGGGGACTCTGTGGAGGGCCTTTAAAGGGAAGCTGGCCGCTTTGCTCACTCATTAAACAGGGTGGGGTCTTTCCCTCCTGTGCCTGGAGCTCTTTGAGTCAGGCCGAGGCTCGTCCAGTCGTCCAGTCGTGGGGTCAGGAGACCTTCAGAGAAGAGTATGTAGGTGACAGACGGGTTGAGTCACTGGTAACTTCCACTCCTCTGGGAGAGGGGGTGGCCTTTCTTAGATCACGTGTGGAGACAGCCACTGTCCTGGTTTGGGGGGGACATGCCGTGGCTGCCTGGCCGGAAGTCCCTGGCGGTAGCCGTTTCTTCAGTTACTCGAGCCGCCTCATTCACGGCCCCTTCCACCATCGGCACATCCAGCTGGACAGGGCCGAGTCAGAGCCGCCTTCTCCGTGGGGCTGACCGTCTTTAAAGGGCAGGTCTGGCCTGGGCCCGGCAGCCCAACCAACCTAAGGCCAGACTTGTGGGCGAGGCCCTTTGGGCAGCGCACACGCTCATCCCTGCCCCTCAGCCTCCGGCCTGCAGGCTCCTCCCACCCCTTCCAGTCTTGGGGGACGAGCGAGGTTTTCTCTGGACCCCGCTGCCCTCTCCACCCTCACCTGCTCTGGCGCTGCCTGCAAAGTGACATCTGGTGCCTCACCCACCAGCACCAGGGTCACGGGACTCCCAGCATGGCAGCCAGGTGTGACTCGGGCAGGTAACCTCCCTGAGGAAGCAGCCTCAGACTGGGTCCAGGGAACCAGCAGAGCGAGTTCTGTGGGTCTGTCTCCCCAGGTGACACAGTAGCCAGCCAGCCCGCAGCATGGGGAGGTCCCCGCAGCCCGGCCCCCGCCTCCCGGGGCGATCCCGGCCCCCAGGAGCTTAGCTTTCATTCTGTGCAGACAGATGAGCCAATTTCGAGGTGTGCTGCAGGCCACGGAAACTGTCCACAAGCAGCGTGGCCTGGCTCGGCCCCTCGGAACAGGCTGTCAGTGGGGGTTTGCACGGGCTCCCACCCAGAATTCACCCATTCAGCCTGGCGAGTCGGGGCGCACCGCCTGGCCTGCTGAAGGGGTGCCGAGGCCCAGCCAGGCGCCCTTTCCTGTCACTAGGTGGGCATCTTGCTGGGCCCCGCTTCGGGCGAGGCCGGACTCTTGCATGGCTTCTCTGGCGTGGGGAGCTTACCAGGGCGCGGAGAGGTAGGAGCTCTTGGGAACCAGCCTGTGAGCTGGGCCTGGGGCAGACCCACCGCAGACGCTCGGTTCGTGAGGAGCCCGGACCCCACCCGCCGGGATCCCCAGAGACGCTCCCCGGGCCTCTGGCTGCTCTTCCGACGCGGGTGGTTGGGGCGGACGGCCGCCCACCCCGGGAGGAGCTGGAATAGGGAGGGAGAGGCGTGGCACCGTGGCCAGGTGGGGCCGGGCACGGAGATGCTCACCCACACCCCCGGGTGACCCTGGCGCCTGGAGCCAGCGCCTGGGTCACGCCAGTGCGACGTCCTTGCAGGAAGGAGGTGCGGGCTGAGGGTGAAGTCCCGAGGTCGGGCGGACAGGTGGGGAGCGTGTGCGCTGGACCCCAGGCGGAGAAGGCCTTCGAGGACAGCGATGCAGGTCGGTCCGTTGATGGCCGAGTCGAGGCCAGGTCAAGCATGTCCATTAGCTTCGGTGACGAGGCCGTCTGCTGTTTCCCAGTCGCCTGCGGGGTGGAGCCAGGCGGAGCCAGGCGGAGCGGCTGCGCAGAGGGGCGTGCAGGGGCGTTTGATTCCTGGGGCTGCTGGGACGAGACAGACCATGAACTGGGCAGCTTACAAGGGCAGCCGTGGCCTGGCGGTCCAGGGGTCAGCTGCCGGGAACCGCGGCGGGCTCGCCGGCCTCTGGGCACCGCCGGCCTTCCTCGGCCAGGCGGGTGTCCACCTCCGCCTCGCTGTCGCGTGGCTCCCGTGTCCTCTCTGCCGTGTGCTCCCCGGTGCTGCGGCGGGCGCGGCCTTCCCTGTGTCCCCTGCGCTCCAGGCGGCCCCTCCTGGGCGGCCTCTACCCCTGTGCCTTGTGGCCGGGGGCCTCCGCCGTCCAGCCAGCCCTGACCACGGGGCCCTCGCCCGACGCCTCCCTGGCCTCGGAGGCTGAAGCCAGAGGGGCTGCTGTGCCCTGCTCTCTCCTGGGGTTTGGGGGGCGAGTCCCTATGGGCCCCCCATACTCTCCCCCTCCCCCGTGCGGGAAGCATCTTCCACCTGCTTTGGGCCCCCCCTCGTCGGGCGAGGTTCGTGGTGATGCAAGTCAGGGCCAGCTCCGTTCTCTTCTCGGGGCCCCACCCTGCTGGTGGCTCTTCCCTCATCCCAGCTGGGCATATCCGGGACATGGGTCACCCCACGCCGCACAGGCGTCTTTCTGGGGGAGAGCGGCTGCGTGGGGGAGGGCACGTTCTGGACTCCCTGCCCCCACAGGCTGGTCGTGTGAAGACAGCAGGCTCTCGGAGTGGGGGACAGGAGACCGGGTGCCCACGTTGCCCAGCTGGGGTCCAGTGTCCTTCCTGGTGGCACTGCTTTCGGGAAGCGACAGTGACAGGGGCATCGCCGCGTGGGCGTGTCCTGAGCCAGGCCCACCCCTGTGCCCGCAGACCGGTGCAGGCACCTGGCCGTGGCCGTGGCCCTGTCCTGGGCAGCTTGAGCTGGGGTCTCTGAGCGCCGGTGCTTGGACCGGGGGGCTGGGCCCTGCAGGTTCAAGTTGGCCCCAGGCATCTGTCCTAGAAATGGGGGAGCGGGTGCCTGGGCCTTTCCAGCTCCCCCTCCTCACTGCTCCCCTAAATAGCCCCTGCCCCAGCTGCTGCTCCCAGAGCTGCCTCGGCGCCCGTCATCCGTGTCACCCCACAGATGTGCGCCTGCTCCCTGGAGGTGGACATGGCCGGGGCACCCCGAGGGACGCTGCCCCCTCGGTGGGGGGCTGTTCAGGGGTTCTCCACCAGGGCCCGACTTTGTGCCTGGGCCTGGAGATGCGCCCTCGGCCCTCGTCAGAATTATGCAGATAGAGGAGGCCCCCGGGGTCCGACAGAGTCTGAGGACAGACGTCGTGGCGTGTGCCCACACTGTCCCCCGGTCAGTCCCCTTCGCGGACCGACCAGATCACAGCGCTGACACCTTCGTTTGGCTCCCCCTGCCCACCCCCCCACCCCCCCGGTCGGCAGGGGTGAGGAGGGAGGGGTGTGGCCCACCGCCCTGTCTGAGGACCTCGACAGTCCCCCGGCGTGGGACGCCTGGGTGGCGGGTGTCATTTTCAGCTCATGCCACAGAGCTGCCATTTCTGCGGCCTGTGTTGAGAGAGCCAGCACCCCTTGGCTGAGTGACCCCCACACACCGGGCCGCTCAGTGTGGCCCAAAGGTGGGCAGGCGGAGGAAGTGGCCCCACATCACAGCACTGTCTCCAGCAGAGCCGAGCGAAGGGGGCCCGAGCTCTGTGCCCTTTGGGTGAATCTCAAAGGCTATTGGGGTGTCCTCTTTACGTGGGCGTGGAAGGACCCCGCCCCCCAGAGCCGGCCCCACCTGCTGCCTCCAGAGCTCCTGTTGTCTTCCAGCCCCTCCGCCTCTCTGTGGGGCTGAGCTGAGTCCTGGGGGGTGGGGGGGGCTAGCTCTGTGAGGAGCAGATGAGGGAGCCCCCGGGGTGGGGGGCAACAAGTCCCCTCGGCCCTCAATCACCACGTCTGGCCAAGCGCTGTGGAGACACACCTCTGGCCTTCAGGGTCTTTGCCTCCTCAGACGGTCCTGATCCCCGGGGGGTCACTGAGCCCGGAGGAGGGTGTGACCGGGAGCCCAGGCTGCCCTGCGGGGCGAGGCCTGGACCCAGGAGCGCGGGCGCCTGGCTGTCCGGGGCCGGGCTGTGAGTGGGGTGCCGGCCCTGCTGCATCAGGGCACACTGGGCCCTCAAGGCCAGGAGGCCGCTGGGTTCAGCCAGCGTCGGGCGGGGCTCCCCCTTCCTGCTCTGTCTGGGAAAGGCCCTGCTCCAGAGCGTCCCACTGGGCACATCCCGCTTTGCGGCCTCCGGTCTGGCTGGGCGGCGGCTCTCCGGGCGACGAGAGCCCGGCATCGAGCGGGTGCAGCCCCGGCTCAGCTCTTGTCCTTATCAGGCTCTGGCCGTTTGTGCGACCTGTGATTCGCAGGCCTGCAGTCGCCACGCAGTGAGTGCTCGCTCGGGATGGCCAGCACCTGAGGGCGGCCTGCAGCGGGCATGCCCCCCTGGACCTGGCTGGGGGGCGGGGCGCCCTGGAGGGGCGGCTGTTCAGACGCCTCCTGGGGCTGAGTTTACCCCAGACCGGTGAGCAGCTGCCTGCGGAGTCAGGGCTGCGGCCGCGGGGACGGAGCTGCCGTCCTGGGCTGCGCTGGAGACCTCTGGGGTCTGGTGTGGAAGGCCGCTCGGCCGTGACCGGGCTGCACCCCGGCCTGTAACTGGGGTCTGCTAGGCTCCGGCACCTCAGTGGCCCCAGCTGTGACGTGGAGACGCAGCCTCCCCCCCACCCCCATCGTCAGGTCAAAGCACAGTGTCTCCCTCCGAGCGACGGTGCGGCGCGGGGCGGGGGTGGCCCCTCTCCCCCAGCGGCAGGCCGTGAGCGTGTCTGGGGCAGCGTCCGCCTGCTTCAGTCCCGGCCCGGCCCTACCAGGGCCCCGGGCGGGATATTTAGACTCCCCGTTCCTCGGTTTCCCCATCTGTAAAACGGGTGCGGCCCGCGCCTGTCGCGTTTCTCTGAGGATTCAGCGGCCTGCGGAGGGCATGCAGGGCCGACAGAGGCCCCGCTGCAGCGCCCGGACTGCTAACCGTGCGCGTGTTGGCGCACGCCGGGGCCGTCGGGGCGCCCTAACCCTGTGCTGTCTCCTCCCCCAGCCGAGCCCCTGCCGCTGATGGACCTGTGTCGCCGCTCCGTGCGCCTGGCCCTGGGGAAGCAGCGTCTGGGCGAGATCCACGCGCTGCCCCTGCCCGCCTCCCTCAAGGCCTACCTCCTGTACCAGTGACCCGGCCGCCGCGCCTCGACCGGGCCTCTCGTCCTCGCCACCCTCCACTGCCCTCGCCGGCCACGGACATCTCTGGACGCAGGCTCCCGCCACGCCGCTCAGAGCCCCCGCTGGGAGACGGCACGTGGACGCTCAGTGGCCGTCTGCTCTCGGGGCGGCGGGGGGCACGCCCTGCCGAGCCCCGAGGCGCAGGGACCTAGATTCGGGGTGCTAAGAGGTGCTATCGGAGGGTGGGTGCCCAGGCCGGCGGGCTGTCCGCAGCCACGAAGCTCAGGACGTCGGGAACTCGCGGACATGGAGGCAGAAACCCAAACCGGACCTTCTGCAGCACGGCGCACCTGCACCAGCCGTCACGCACCCGTACCCCTGTATTTATTCTTTTAACAATAACAAAAGCCATTTATTTATTCCATTTAGAAAGGAACCCGGGGTCGCTCACCTACTCCCCTCTGCGCCTGGCCTCCCGGGCAGGGCAGGGCAGGGCGGCCCACCGCTGTCTTGTCCGGCCCTTGACCTCAGCTCCCCGGGGTCCTGCGCCTTGTTCCCAGGCCTCTGGCGCTCCGGCCTCGCGGCGGGCGGGACGGGCTCACCCAGGCAGCGGCCTGACGCCCATGCCCGCTCCCCTGTCGGCCTGTGCGAGTGCCGTCGGTCGAGTCCCTTCTGCGCGGCTCTTGGCGAAGCTGAGCTTTTGCTGTCGCTTTCCTGGCTGAACTGGGATTTCAGTGGCATCCTGGAAGCTCTGACCTCCCAGAGGGCCCCTGGGCCAGGAGGCGGGGGCGAGTGGGCGCCGTTCTCGGAGAAGGCGGGCGCAGGACCTGGGGGCAGAGCTGAGGTCTGCCTGGGGAGTCAGTGCGGATCCAGGTCCAGGCTGGAAGTGGAGCCAGGCCCCAGCCAGAAGCGGGGCGCGGGCGGGACAGCAGGGCAGAGGGCCGCTCCCTCCCGCAGGCCCGCGTAGCAGGCCCCGCGCCCAGCCCGCCAAAGCCATTTCTTTCCTCTTGAAGCTGGCCGGCTTCAGTCCATTTCTGTACAGGTACAATAGATGACTTTATTTGTTTAAAATGTTTAATATATAGACATATATATTTGTCCGTAAGAATGATGTTTTAAACAGCTGCTGTCGGGTACCTTTAAAAGGAAAGTCTTCCAGGGGAGTACACATTTTAAAGCACAAAACTGGTGCCCACACGGGGTGAGGAATGTAAATTACCCCCCTATTACTTTGAGGCCTTTGTCGGGGAGCCTCACCTGAGACGCGCCTCGCTCTGCCCTGCCGGTCCCGCTCTGGCGGTGCTGCCCACGAGCGAGCGTCAGCGCACCCATCCGCCTGCGGCCTGACCAAACTCGTCTTCCGCAGCCCCGCCCCCTCCCTCCAGCCCCCCTTCTCCCCTCTCGGCCCAGAGCCGTGTGGCCTGTACAGTTTTGAAACCCCCGTTCTATTTTATGATGGTTGAATAATAGTCAGTAACCTAATAAAGGAAAGTTTATTAAAATACAAACCCACTTTTGAATCCTTTGTGCCTTGGGGAAGGGAAAGAGGCGTGGGTGACCTCTCCCGGCTGTGGGGGAGGGGGCTCCCCTGCTCTGCTGGGACCCGCGGCAGGGGGCGGGCTGCTGGTGGGGGTCCCTGAGGAGGAGGAGGGCTCTGAGGTCTGAGGCGCCCCTTGCACATCCCACCCCACCCCGTTGCAGAAGGCGGGCGCCCGCAGCCCTGACGGCTGGGGGGGGGTGGCGGGTACGGGGGGACATGTCCGGGGCAGCGAGGAGTGCCCTGGCCTCCAGTCTCGGGGTGCGAGGAAGCCGAGTTCATGTGGGCTTTTAGGCCAGGGGTGTCCTGGACACTCATCTTTGTGTGCCCAGCGCCGTGACCCCTGGCCTGGGAGACCCC